GAAGATCCAAGATCATTTGAAACGCCTACAAAGGAAGTCAAAAGTAACCTGCTAGAGATGCAGGCCCAAGATAACAGCTCTGAACCACAACCACTAGCACTTGTCCCTGCAGAAGCTTGGAGTTTATCAAGTACATATGAAAACAATTTGGTGTTTTCAAGTAGGGGGGAGAAAAGCTCGAAACAAGGGCAGTTCTTTCTGGGAGAATACAAAGATCCATCAACACCTTGGGTGATGTCTAAATTAATGAATTTTGGGGGAGTTTTTAGGGGTTTCAATGAAGGGTATCGTAGAGATGACAAAAGTAGGGATGGCAATTTTCCCCATCCCCGTCAGGTCCCAACTTCCCCAACCCCATCGGGTTTGAGTTGGGGATTAATAGGGATCCCTGACAGTGATATATATATATATATAGATATATGATATTATTTATATTATATCTCAAAACATATTTAAAGTATTATTTATATTTTTAAATTTTCTTTTATTTTAAGTAATTTTTTTCAAAAATACTTAAAAACTTTCGGGGATTCAGGTCCCCACAAGGAATCCAACTCCAGCGGGGATCAAGAATGGATGTAGGGATGAGCATTTGGTTTATGCAGTTAAAAACCGAAACGAGTAAACCAAAATTTTAAAAACCAAACTAAAAAAATAAAAACCTAAATAACCGAAACCAAAATTTTCGATTTGGTTTTCGGCTAAAACTGAATTTTAATAATACATACTCTATTATATATATTATATATTATAAAATCAAATTTCATTTTATTATATATTAATATATAAATATATAATATATAATACATTACATATTATATATAATAATAAAAATTTCAGTTAATTCAGTTAACCGAATTTCTTATTCTAAAAACCGAAACTGAAAACCAAATTAACCGAAAAAATTGAAACCAAAATTTTTGGTTCGGTTTTATGGTTTTAACCGAATAATTCTCACCCATAGATGGAGGGCAACTTTCAACCTCGACAAGGACAGGGAATATGATCCTTGACCCGAACCCACCTCATACCATTCCAAGACAAATCGAAATCGAGAAGGAGGTGAAGGGGTAAACAACTGCTCTCTAAGTTTCTTTCTCTAATATGACATCATGAAGTTAATTCCTAGAATGTAAGGGGCCTGAATTCTGGTTGTAGGTGGGTAGTGATTAGAGCTCAAGTGCGGAAGTGGAATATGGATGTGCTATGTCTTCAAGAGACAAAAATGGAAAACATGGAAGAAGCTCAAATCAGATCAATTTGGGGTAGTAGAAATTGTGAATGGGATCTCATCCCATCAATTGGTACAACAAGGGGTCTGATCATCATTTGGAATTCAAATGTTTTGAAAATGAAGGATAAAATAAAGGGAAATTTCTCTGTCCATTTTGTTCCAATTGTATGAAGATGGTTGGGAATGGATCTTTTCAGGGGTTATGGGCCAAACAAAAATGGATTAAGGAGGTTATTTTGGGTGGTATTGGACAAGGTTAAGGAAACTTGGAAGAAACCGTGGGTGGTAGGTGGAGATTTCAACACTACCAGATTCACACATGAGAAAAAAGGGGGAAGTAGGGTTTCAAGGGACCAAAGGGGTTTTGGAGAGTTTGAGTAGATGGGAGTTAGCAGATATCCCACTATTGGGAACAAGACACGCTTGGACTAACAACCAGGAGGAGGCAATTTTAAAAAAAAAAATGTGGACCGATTTGTGGTTTCGGAAGACTGGGGAGAGAAATTTGGCCAACTCTCCATGGAATCTCTTCCCCATCCGCTTTCAGAATTCAGATTGCATGTCAATTTTCTTGGACAGCTGTGGAGTCCCACCTAAACCATCCCCATTTAGATTTGAGAAGCTCAAGTTGGAAGAGGAAGGCTGTAAAAACAAACTTTGACAAACTTGCTTTCCAATAGGAAATGAAATGGAAGCAGAGGTCAAAAATCAAAATGTTTGTGGCTGAGGGAGGGTGATAAAGATACCAGATTTTTTTCACAAAATGGCAAATGCTAGAAGAGGAGAAAATATGATAAAGAAGCTGGTCATAGAAGGGGAAGTGGAGGAAGAAAAAATTAAAGGGGCAGCAGAATGTTACTTCTCAAAGCTTTACAAGGAAGAATGGAAGAGAAGGCCTAAGGTGGATGGACTAGAGACTAGAGTTCAGCAGTTTGTCCGAAGAACAGGCAAGGAATTTAGAAAGGGTATTCATGGAACAGGAGGTGTGGGAAGCAATAAATGAAATGGAAGGGGATAAACCACTAGCCCAGACGGTTTTACAATAAAGTTTTTCAAAAAGTGCTGGGGTTTCCTAAAAGAGGATATAATGGCAGTCTTAGAGTTTCATTCTTCTGCTGCATTATAAAGAAGTCTAAACTCTACTTTTATCTCTTTAATTCCTAAGAAAAAAGGGGCCGAGGAACTTAAGGATTTCAGGCCAATCAGTCTTATTGGTAGTGTTTATAAAATATTGTCCAAAGTGATAGCCAAAAGACTGAGGGTCCGTTTGGTTTGCAGGAATAGGGATCTGGAATCGGAAAAGGAATGGGCTATTCCCATTCCAACTTTTTTGTTTTGCGGAATCGGAATCTCATTCCCATTCATGCTGGAAGGGCATTCCCCCATTTGAGGGAATGGCCATCTGCCCCTCCCTTGGGAATGAAATCCCATTCCTGCTGATTTTAATTCTCATTCCCATTCCTGTCTGAACCAAACAGACTATGGGAATGGACCATTCCGATTCCGATTCTGATTCTGACTACAAACCAAGCGGACCCTGAAACCAGTCATGGGTTATGTTACTTTAGAGTTCCAGGGTGCTTTTGTTGAGGGAAGACAGCTGGCGGATGGGGTTCTAACAGCAAATGAACCAATTGACTCCCGGATTAGGAGTGGAAGAGCTGGACTGTTGTGCAAGATGGATCTCAAAAAAGCCTACGATCATGTAAATTCGGGTTTTTTGGATTATATATAAAGGAGGATTAATTTCAGTTCCAAGTGGAGGCATTGGGTTTAAGACAAGGCAACCCCTTGCCTCCCCTGCTATTTCTTTGGTGTGATGGAAGTTTTGGGGAAATTGAATTTGAGAGCAGTATGAGGTGGTTTTTTGGAGGGTTTTACGGTGGGAGAGAACAGACTAGAGATTCCCTTGTTACAGTTTGTAGATGACTCAGTATTTTTCTGCAATGCTTCTCGGGAGCAACTTGATTTTTTTATGGCAATACTATGGTGGTTTGCAGTAGTCTCTAGACTATGTTTGAATGTGCACAAAAAGCGACCTAGTAGCAGCAGGTGAGGACCTGAGGTACAAGAATAGCAATTCTAGGCTGATTTCTGGGGTTTTAAGGTGGGCGTGGGCAAGTTCCCTTTAAAATATTGGGAAATGCCCTTGGGGCCAAATGCAATGCTAAATCAATTTGGGAAACAATTGTGCAAAGGATTGAGAAAAAGCTGTCTGGATGGAAAGTGAGTTACCTGTCAAAAGGGTGTAAGCTTACTCTAATAAAGAGTGTTCTGTCTTCTGAACCCGTTCATTTATTATCGCTTTACCCAAATTCCAGCAGGGGTGGGCCGGGTGGCCTCTCAGATTGAGAGACAAATGAGATAATTCTTATGGAGAGTTTGGATGGATGGTAAAAAAAGTTCATTTGGTCAATTGGGGAAAGGTGTGTAAATCAATGAAAAACGGGGGATTGGGTATTAGAATACTTCAAGAGGTGAACTTAGCATTTCTTGGGAAATGATTCTGGAGGTTTTGACAGCAAGGGAGTTGACTATGGAAAAGAGTAATTCAAGAAAAGTACAGTACAAGAAATGAGGGATGGGATCCAGGAGAGGCAAATTAGTCATTTGGTTGCTCGATTTGAAAAAGGGTTGAAAAGAGCTACAGTTCTTTTAGCAAGGAAATCAAGGAAATGGATTCCGGATATTGCTGGTGTGGAAACAATTTGTTGAAGGATCATTTTCCAGAATTATTTGCAACCGCAGTCAATAAGGAGGCAAAAGTGGGTGATTATGTGCATTTTCAAAATGTTGATCATGTTTGGAGCCCACAGTCTAGAAGAGCTCTGAATGATTGGGAGATTGAACCTTTTGGACAGCTACTTCAGAAGTTGTACAGCATGCAAATTAATTTTAATTCAGAAGACAGAAGGGTGTGGTCAGCCAAAAGGAAGGGTCACTTCACAGTAAAATCCTTTTATAATAAACTGACTCAAGAGGACGATCCGGATTTCCCTTCGTATGTAATCTGGAGCAAGCATATCCCTTCAAAGGTGGCTTACAACCTGAACAAGAGGGGAATGGCAATTGACTCACCTGAATATACCAACAACATATGAATTAAAATCTTTAGCATTTTTGCCATCAAAAGTTGCTGTCCTGCATCAGTGGAAGCTTTTGTAAAGGGCTGGTGGACCCATGGTCTGAGTAAAAATGGGAAAATTCTATGGCAATTGGTCCCAGGAGCAGTGTTCTGGTTGACATGGCAGGAAAGAAACTCAAGGCTCTTTCAAAGTAAAGGCTATCAAGAGGAGGAAGTGTGGCAGAAAATAATTGGGAAACTGTTATCCTGGTCATCTGCACATCTATGAAGAGATAGTTTTCCCCTTAGTTCTCTCCTTCAGTATGAAACCTTTTTGAAATGACAAATGGGATAGTGGTCTAATGTTTTTTGTATTTTCCCACTGCATAGACTCTCTGGTTGTACATGGGTATTTTTTTCTTTCTTTTCTAATGAATTAATACTTTACTTCTTCTCAGAAAAAAGCAACTGCCATCTCATACTCAAATGAATGTAATGCATTGAGAGCAACCAAAGCAGTGATGCCCATACTTCTACTATGGTATTACAATTTACAAATATTATAATAAACAAGTTTAGAGGGTTTTCCTCTGTAATATGTTAATATGTAATGGAAAGCATGATGAAACAGTTGACCGCTTTTATTTATTATACTATAATAAAAAAAAAGGCTAAAAGACCTCATGCTTTTTAGCAACTTGCCTCGAGGAACACCTCTAGGTGTAAGCTTCCAGCCTCTTCTAATACTGATCTAATGTTGAAAATCCGCATTATGATGCAGTACTCATAATTATCTATTATCTTTAACATCCATCATACTGTAGAGAGACTATTGCGTTTATGCATTCCATCTAAATCCAAGGAACCTTGTTGACCTCATCGTATTTCTAGTTAAGATGGTTTGATAATCAAAGCCCCTCTCATTAGTTCTTGTCCTCCTCACTGCAATATCTAAGCAACCTTCTTTTCAATGGACCAGAAATGTGAGTAAGCTAATCATCAAAAAAAAAAAAAACAGAAATGTGAGCAAGCTCCGGTTCAGGATTTGAAGCCCAACAAGGAGACCCAACACATAAGCATAGTAATACACCTACCCAAAAAAAAAAAAAAATAGTGGTGCACCTGCATAGTGGTGTTCCAGACTCCCGGGACTATCAAATAATCAAATAAATAAATAACCAAATAATCGCGAAATTTTCCACAAAATAATTTTTTTGTTTTGATAATTAATTTTCCACAATAGAATTGAAGAAAAATTATTGCGAATACAATAATTTTGGTAGGTTCCAAATTCGAGTACAAACACAACTTAAGATTATTTAAAAAAAATCAAAAGGAAAAAAAAGGAAATCCTCATATAACAGAAATGCTAAGATATGCAACTAAACAAATATAAACATTAGTTTTTTTTATCAATAAATATAAACATTAGTTTTTTTTATCAATAAATATAAACATTAGTTTTTTTTATCAATAAATATAAACATTAGCTTATCAGTTAAACTGATGGAGAGAGAGGTTGAAAGCAACCTGGTCGTCGTCAAGAAGATCAAATGGGTTTCGTGAAGAAGCGTGCAAATAGGACGAGTCAAAATCGTCTTCGTTGAGCACCGGTTCAGGATCGGCCAATATATGTTGTTTTTCTTGTTCTTCTAAAACTTTTCTCAGCAACCGAGCCGACATGATTGTCGTTTCTATCGACTTTACCTTGATTCTGAGAATTCAGAAGATAAGAGTTGTCACCGAAAATGGAGCCTCGTCGGATTAGGGTTCTGTTTTTTCCTCTCTAAAAAACAAAAACAACGTGTGCACGCCTAGTGAAGGAGGCAATTTGTAAGAATCAGGAATATGGTGCCCGAGTGCTTCTGTTCCTGGTCTAATTTCTATCTTGCGCGGTGATGCTCTGCTCCGCGGCTCTGGTGATATAGGGACCCTTGTTCCATTCCATGACCGACTCTCCGGTAACGTAAGAATTGATAAAAGGGTAAATTTGTTAAACACCCTTATGGATTAGCTAATTCACTAACTCTACCTTACTCTTTACGTATTTTCCGGATAACTTGACTGCACTCGACTTTAGAATTCTGAATTTAAATGTACAACAATTGAAAATTATAAACATCGCTTGTGAATTAGCATCAATTTCATCTCGCACCTATTCCAACTGTAGACCAAATCAGCCCCCCCACAACGTTCCACAGCTCATCTCCACCTTGTATTAGGAACATCTCCCAATGATAATCTTAAAAATGATGATGATGAGATATTCTCAATACACTGTGGGGATGTGCTGTGAGACATTATGGGGGGTTGATTTAAATTTTTAATAATCGGGGATGGTAATTTTGCAGGAATTTTTGGGTATTTTACCTGTCCCGACCCTAATAGGATTTGTTTATCAAAACCCTATAGGGTTTGGGATGGGTTTAGATTTTGACTTTAGGGTATCCGATACCCAATATCCGGAATGCATAAATATAAACCTATTATATTATATATCATGCACAAATTTCTAAAGTTTAAGTACTAAGATAATTATCTTATTATTAATATTTTATTTGTATAGATTTCTTCGGATTAAAATCATCCCTTGATGTAAATTTGGATTTGATAGATTGCTTATTTCATTTAGTTATAAAATATTAATTTTAAATATTATTTATTTTAATTTTTAGTTGGAATTATTAATCATATGCATATATTGATTGTTTTGATGAACACAAAAGTTAATAAAATCTATTTTATTTCATTAAATAACACAAAAGGCAAGATAGCTTAGTGGCCTAAAGTTAAGAAATTTGATACTATTATTAATTAATTTAGGTTTGAATCACACTATAAACATTAAGAATTTTTTTGGGAGTATAGCTGATAAAGGCAACTTTTGGGCCCTAATATCAATAAAAGTAAAAGTTTTAATAAATTTTCAAAAATATATTAACTTTTTAAAAATAATATCAACTAAGGGCAAAAACAATGTTCATCTTCTTTCTCTTCCAATTCATTCATCAGCGCCACCACTCGCCGCTCTAACAATGCCTTCGTCGTCTCCTCCCACCTCCAGCAACACCTCCGCCCACCTCTGCCTCTGCCTCCGGCAACATTGTTGGAGGTGGGCAGAGGCAGAAGCGGCAGCAGTGCTGGTCAATGACCCTGCCTCCGCCCACCTCCGGCAAGATCTATAGCTATTGATTTTGGGATACTTGGACCTGATGAGGACTTGAAGATTGAAGAAACAGTGGTGGAAGGAGAAGACTTCCGAAAATATTCAAATAGGGAAATGATGGAGAAGGTTGATAAAATCAAGGTAATGGCAAGGTGCTTCTCCTCTGACAAATACATGATGATACAGTGCCTAAAGCGAAAAAACCAAGTCGTGGTGGTCATTGGGGATGATAGAAATGATTATATACATATGAGGACCCAATACACTCAAATGGAAATGGAAACAACATCAGACATCATCATTGCAGAAGGTAACTCCGATTCTAATAACTATTTTGAAGTGGGGAAGGTGCATTTACATCAACATTCAAAAGTTCATCCAGTTCCAGCTCACAGTGAATGTTGCTACCCTAGTGATCAACTTCAATGCAGTTGTTGGGTGTATTCGGTGCCTTGGCACTAGCTGTAGAGCAGCCTACCGAAGAGCTCATGGAAAAGCCTCCAGTAGGTCGAAGCAAGTCTGATCTTATCAATAGCATCATGTATAGGAACCTCATTGGTCAGGCTCTGTATCAGGTGGCAGTCTTAATGGTGCTACATTTCAGTGGAAGCTCCATCTTTGAGGTGAGTGAGAAGATCAACGACACCCTAATGTTCAATACTTTTGTCCTCTACCAAATCTTTAATCTTTTCAATGCAAGGAAGCTAGAGAAGAAGAACGTTCTTGGAGGGATACACGAAGAGAACCAGTTTTTCCTTGGCATTGTGATGATAATTGTTGGCATTGCATGAGGCAGAGGCGGAGGTGGCGTTGTTGGACAGAGGCGGAGGCGGAGGTGGGCGGATATGGCAAAGGTAGGTGGAGGCGTTGCTGGAGGTTGCCAGAGGCAGCAGTGGGCGGCGGGGGCGGTGGCGCTGATGAATGGATTACAAGAAGAAGAAGATGAATAGTATTTTTGCCCTTAATTGATATTATTTTTAAAATGTTAATCTATTTTTGAAATTTTATTAAAAATATTTTTTTATTGATATTAGGGCCCAAAAGTTGCCCTTATCAACTATAAATCTCAATTTTTTTAGTAAAAAACGTTTGGTCAATGGGGTTTAATGGGTGGGACGGGTCAGGACGAGTAACAGGTTTTGGAAATTGAGAGGAAAAGTTAAACGAATTTGGAATCAGGGATACATAGGCGGGTTCGGCAATGGGTAGGGCAATTTGCACAAGTACCCTACCCATTGCCATTCCTACTAACAATTTTGGGGGTGGACTGAATAGTAAAAACCCCTTTTCCTGATTGTGTTTTCTTAAAGTGTCTACTATATTTTTTGTTTCTAATAATTGACATAATCCTTAAATGATAATAGAAAAAACAAAATGTTAAATATGTATTCCATTATTTTTCAATTTTTCAAAATAAAATCCAATGGATGAACATTTTCAAAATAAAATGTCAAATTTTCAAGAGACATAATTAAGTATTATAATTAAAAATTAGTAACACCTGAGATCGAAGGAATACCAGAGGGAACAATGGAGATTTAGGATCCAAGGATATATTCATCACTTGCTATGGGCGTGATAAAGAAATTGTTTTATTTGGTTGGAGCAAATTGTTAGTAGTCTCTTATATGATAAAGAATTTTCTTATGTTTTATTTTCTGACTTCTGAGTATTGAACCTTAAATGGAACTTTTCATCTCAAACGCCCTTGAAAATCTGTGAAAACTTCAGTTTAAACGTCGCCCTTTCTATTTATTTTGCTATTTTCTATCTGCAGTCCGTACTCTCTTCTTAGTGTTGTGCTCCTCCCTCTGTCAGACTCTGTGTCTCGAGATCCTTTTGAATAGGAAGAAGAAGAAAAAGAAAAATGCAGTAAGAGAAAGGTATTGTCTGCTTTCCTTACTCATTTCTTTGCTTCCACGTTACGTAGTGACAAGCTCATGCTGAATTTCAGAACTTCACTGGAGAGAAAGATAGCAAAAACACCCCTAAAAAAGGTTTCAACAGTAAATCAATACAAGTAATGAAAAGGCTATTATTGTCATTTTCTCAAAATATAATGGTGTGGCATGTGAGCAGATTGTGATGGAACCTTAACAGCAAGGGATTAATTAGTCAATTGTCAGAAAATTTGGAGGTACTTTAAGACCATATATAAACAGTAAGTTAAAATTATTCAATTAGTTAAATCATAAGGGTAGTTTAAAAAATTATACTACAAAAAGGCAAATCCCTTAAACTATCCCTAAGTTTTGAGAAAGGACTTAAAACATCGCTAACAAAATACTTTTGTTCACCTTGGGCGGCTCCAAATCAAGCCCAACCCGGGTTATTACTCAAGTTGGGCCTAAGGTTTCGGGCTGTCTAGGCTTGAAAACTCGATTCAATCCAAGCACGATTCAATCCAAAACTTACCAAAAAAACATATACATATATTTATCGTATTTATATAAAATATATCTTTTGTAATTATGCATACATATATATGTGTACAATATATATATATATATATATATATATATATATATTTGTAAATGAAATTTAATCCGACTTGGCCTAGCCCCATCCCAAACCCAACCTGAGTTATGTTGGATTAAGCTTAAGTTGGGTTTGAAATAATAAACTTGAACTTAAGTTGGATTGACCTTAAACCTGACCTAACCCGCTTGAGTTGCACCTCAACTTTCAACTATCCCAGGTTTTTATTAACAATTGATTAATTTTGCCCGTACCATTAGCACACCCTCACATTTTTTTCATATGTAATTGCATGTGACTGTTGTAACTTCTATAAAATCCAATTTTTGCCCTTTATTTATCAATGACAACAACAAGTCCTTCAACCAAAAGACGGCCACTCCAATCTCCCCCCACCAAAATTCCTTCAACCAAAGGTTTTTTTAACACCAAAATTAAATTCCTTTTCTTTTGAAACCACTTCCACTCAAACACGCGAGAAAATCGACAAGAAATGTCAAGGTCATGAAACCAAACTAGACTATATATATACAATCAAACATCAAGGTTGATGAAGAACTTAAACGATTCAGAGCTACTAAAGATTGATCTACTACAACAACTAATAAATGATTCAAAAGATCTACATCAAGTTGTACTTTTTTATCTTTTTATAATCTTGATGTAAATCAATTGTATAATGCAGTCATTAGATGCTTAACAATATTGAACTCAGTCATCCTTAAAAGTCATAATCCTTATTGGGTTTGGTTCCTTGGCTTTCTTCAGCTTAAACATGTTATAAAGGTCAAGAAAATACGTATTGAAAACTAATGGAAGTGTTTCCAAACCGCTAAGCAAAATGTGTCAAGATTTCAAAGTTTTTAGGTTGTTTGTAAGGAAAACTAGGCCTAATTTTGAGAAGTAGCCGATTAGTTGGATAAATTTGTCGACTATGACAGTTGAAGCATGCATGGTCAAGATAATGAGCAGTCAACTATTCCAAATACATGTGTTGACTAATTGTGAGAACTGAGGTGAGAAGATACATCGAATACTCAATAAAGATATGTCAATTACTCAAATTGATTTAGTTCATAGCCTTACTAGTCAACTAATAAGGAGGAACCAATTGACTAGGAGAGAAAGAAAAAAAGACTCATCCTTTTGTATTAAGTTGACTATTTGAAGTGTACAATCATCTATTATGAAGAAATTTGAACATTTAAAAGATTCAACATGTACTATTATTATTGGAAAGCCTTCTAACATATTAAAGGAAATTTGAATCATTTTCTAAGAAGGTAAAAACCCTTCAACGGCTAAAAAATGATCATTAGATCTCAAATCCTCTATAATAGAGGAGTTTAGCTTGATCCAAAGAATAAGGAAGCAAGAACCAAGTTTGAATCAAGCTTGTGAAAAACAACCTTTGCATTCACTTGTACAAGTCTCATAGGGTCTCTCAAATCCTAAGAGTCCCTAG